CGGAGTAAAATGGAAAAAATAACATTTTCAATAATCAATTTAATTTTGTTCAAATTCAGTACTGGAGCAAATTGACCTATGATCAGATTTAGAAATAAGAACATTACCTAGTTCACATCATAAGGTTTTTTTTTATATTTTAATTTTAAAAAACAAGTAAAGAGTATTTTAAAATTGTAAATTTTTATGCATTTACAAATATTATTTAGAATAATTCTGATTATTCAGAACGTACAATTTGTCAAGTTACTTATTGTTTTTTTAAGATGGAGACAATATATATGGGTGTAGCATCCTCTTAAAGCATAATTTTAAAAAAAAATCATTTAGAAACTTAAATTCTAAGATTTTAAATTAAATTATTTTTAAATCTATGTGAACAAAAAGTATTAACTGCATGGTTGTGTACAGTGTGGACTTGTACATATTATTATTAGATTAAATTATTATTTTTTCATATCAAGGTGAATAAAGCATAAATAATAATTTTGCAACACCTTATATCCTTTATCTTAATGATGAGATTTTTGGTGGTGTAATAAATAGTTATTTTATTATTTAAAATCATTGATTTTTTAGACAGAATAACTTACCTCCATCACTTCCATTTGGCGCAAATGAGTATTTTTACTGTTTTGAAGCAATCCTGTTGATTCGAGTAGTTGATTTCTCATTAGCATAAATTCACTATACAACACAGAAAAATGTGATTGAATACATTTATATTCTGTTGTCTCAAAGATTACACTTTCAGGAAGTTGCCTTAGCTAAAATACAAGCAAAAATTAATCATTTCAAACTTTAATATAATATAGAATAGGGCATTAAGAATCTAGTACCTTCAGTAACCTGGTATATTATTTTTTAATGTTAAGTAAAATTTTTAATTTATCACGGCTTTTATCTGTGTATTCTGTTTCTAACCACACCCACAAAATTTGTTGATGACAATTAGTGAATTAATTTATTGTATAAGCTATTTTTCATGATAACTATTACTAGAACCTTTTAAGTGCTGAATAAATAAATTGAAAGCTCAAAAAAATGCAGGAAAGAATTTCAAAAAAATGTTTGATGTTAAAAAATAACAATAATTATTCGAAGCCAATACATTCCATTATTAAATAACACAAATAGGTTTCAATGAGAATAAATTGTAATGAATATAAATACATTTTATATTTTATAAGATTAAAGAATCTGGCAGTGGTATAGGACCATGGATTGATGGATTATTTAGACAATTGTAAACACAAAAATACATACTTCCATTTTTAATCTTTCTACTTCCATTAAAGCCTCCCTATGTTGTTGATGTAACTTATCAAGTTCTTGAAGTCTGTTATTATTCACCTCTCTTAGTTCTTCATTTTCTTTTTGAAATTCTTCTACCTAAATTTGTATACAATATATAATACATACAATTTAATTTAAAATATAAATATGTTAAAATTATATTGTGATATTATTTAATACGTTCGCTGCCACTGTCGGCTACAGTAGACAAACCAATTTTTTTATGGTGCCTCTGTCAGTTATAGACATTGGGCACTTATCTAAATTAAATGATGCGTTTGTTGGATATAGCTGACACCAGGTCTGTTGAATTAAATGTGCTGTGAAATGGTGATGCACTACACTAATGTTTTTATTTGTGCACAGCCTCTACAGAAAGTTCTTACTATTTCAGTATAATACTTTTTTAAATAACTATTTTTGTTTTTAATTGGTCGTGATCTCAGCGAAATATAACATAATTTGAACTGATACATAAGTATTTTATTATATTATAATAAACAATTTTCTACTGTGCAAATTAAAAATTACCATACACATATTTAATAAGTAAGGCTCAAGATTTATACATTGGCATATCATATTGGTTTGTTATTTTATAAAATCTGTTTTATTAATATGAACCAAAATTAATTAATTTTAGCACATAATACAAAAATTATTTTTTGTACTATAGTCGTATCAGTTCTTTGGAGTTTTTTTAATAAATAAATAAATAAATGGTACTATTTCTCTACAAGTCCGAGGTTTTTTTTATATGGAATAACATATATTTTTAAGTAATATCAATCATACCGCATACCTTTTGGAGAGATACACTAGATTGTGCAATTGATGTATCCGGTTTTGAAATAACTCTGTCATCAATTTGCATAGCTTCCAAACCTTTTAACTTATCTCTTGAATCTGCTAAATGTGTTTCCAATTTATAATTTCGTTCAAGAATTTTTTGATATTCGTATTGCAACTCTTCAATCTGATTTCGCATTTCGGCAACTTCTGTTTCTTTGCAGTTTACATTGTCTTGTAAGCCTGCCAACTAAAATAATAACAAAATAAACATAAATAACCATTTTTTATACACCAAATCTTAAATAAATTATTTATACAACTAAATTATCTAAATATTAGTCATTATTATGCTCAAAATGTTTCACCTTCAATGACATTGTATGATACTTTTTATGTAAAGAGGTATTTAATGTTTGTAACTTCTGGTTCTCAGCTTGAAGTTCACAATTTGCTTGACGAACTGTTTCATCCATACTAGGAGCTTCATCTATTCAAATTCATAATTATTTAATGCATGATTATTAGGACAAAAAAGGGTTAAAACTATCATCTATAAAAAATAGATGACTATGTGATTAAGTACAACAAAAGAACAATGGCATATGAAGCATTTTTAATATTATAAATACTGAAATAAATAATTGTCAAACATTATAGACAATGATATTACCTAATATCACTGAATGTCATATTTTAGTATTCCGTAAATATATATATACTATTTTCATATTTTATAGTTTTATATCAGTACAGTTTAATTAATATTAGCATATAAAGATCACTAGTTTAATTTGATTTAAATGTACAATCTATTAAATATTATGCTTAAATAATTATTACCTCCTTCAAACTCTCCTTTTAGAGCAAGTGTAATTTTTTCATTTCTTTGCATGAGTCTATCAAAAGCTTGTATAACTTTTGCCACTGCTCGTTTTGATACTTGTACTCGATTAGCTAATTTCTCATCTAATTCTTCTTTATCCCATGTTGATAACTGTACTAAAAATGAAGTTGTAGCTTCACTCTCATCTGAAAATAAATAACTTAGTTAAATATATAAATCTATTATCTATTTTAAATAAAAATATTACTAAGTAAAAATAAAATTATTACTTTTGCTCTCTAATTCATCAGCTGTTTCAGCATCAAACCTTTGCAACAGCACACGAATATCTTCATTTAGTTGATTCCAATAACGATTAACAACATTTAAAACAGAATCATCTTGTGTTTGTCGTTTTTCCAACTGTTCTATTCTGTTTCTTAATTCTGCTTCCAGTCTATTACGTTGTTCTAATCTCTAAAAGTCAAGAAATTGTAAATAAAATAATTTTAAAGTCATAATTGTATTTTTTAAACATTATACTAACCTGAGCTAGTTTTTTATTTTGGTATTGTAGTACTTTCATATCTAAATCTTCCATGGTAGAAATAGGGCCAAGTCTGACAGGCTCAAACTGAACTTTTTTCATTGGTGGTTCTTCTGAACCCCCTTCATCATTGTTTCTCTTAGACATTTTAAATATTGTATGGTCTTATTCAAAATATAATTTCTGAAAAGTGAATTAGGTACATTTTATATTATTATACTATTTATGGATTGAATTAACATTCCAATTCATCGAATATAAATATAACAAAATATTACTAAATTATTATGTTCATTTCAATCATTGTTTTTTTGTACACAATTCAGACATGCTTGAACATTTATTAAGACCAACCACATTTACAATTCATATTTAATTACATTTTATCCCCTAGTGACACACAGACATGATAAGGCGATATTTTTTTCAATTATACTTCAGTATTGCTTTCACTAGTCACTAGTGTTTAAATAGATATTTACGGTTTATTTTAATTATTAAGATACATTGAATGAATTATATTTACAACCATACCATACCATACTTTTCTTGAAAAGTACTAATTATACACTATTTTACTAATTGCTTGATGGCCAAGATTCAAACCAAGATTATAACATTTTGATCGGTTGTCTATAGTGTTTCCACATAATATCCAAATGAGAAAATTGAAAAACTAACTTCATATTAGTACTATCAAGTCCACATTTGATTTTCTTTTTATAAGTTGTACAACACAACACTTTGCACTCATCTTACCCACAAACTCTGTTTATAGAATTAAAGATAAAAAAAATTAATATAACTAAAAAATAAAATAAAATACTCCTTCATATAAATTCTAGCATTTTTTTTTAGATTCATATTGACATTTATTATAATCCAATACTAATTAACATTTATAATTAAATGACTTTTTATCTTCATTCAAAATTTAATCTTTGAATAGGTTAAAAAAAAACAGTAGTTTTGAATTGAATTGATCCATTGTGAAACAACAAAACGAGCTACGTAATGTAGTTGCGTAAGTCAATTTAATATGGGAACTAACATTTTCTTCAAGAATAAAATAGCTTACTGAACATTGAAATCTTTAAACGCTTACTTTGTAGGTAATTATAAATAGATTGGTCGATCATTTATAGTATTTACTTCAGTCAATATTGTAACAGTAGTGTGTTATAGAAGGGCCAAACGCCAAGTTATTTCATTTATTTTGAAAATTACAAAATGTGTACAAACATTAAAATTATATACATACCTGTAATCCAATACGTCATTTTAAATAAATATTGAGAAATGATAATTTTTAAATAGAATTATTCCAATTATTAAATTAAAAACGTTGTCGACTGTAGTTGTTGATGTTCTACAGTTTGGCGACCGCGATTGTTTGTGTTCTACAACTGTTCTGATTTGTGTTAAGAAATAAGATCGAATATTCAAAATATGATAATTATTCACTGGTAGTTATTAAACAGACCGCAAGATAGCGTTAGTACGCGGTGCCGTGGAAATATTATGTTATCTCCTTATCAATACAAACACACAATAAAAGAAATTCATGATACAAGCCCTAAAAAGTAGAGTATTTAATATTTATATTAGTAATTTGGAAGTTGACGTTATTACATGTTATTTCCGAGCAGAGTATAATATTCAAATTAATTGTCTTAATGATTAAATATGAGGCATGCCTTTTTTCTGGACTGTGTAAGTTATTTGACAATGTACCTATGTTATGACTTATGAGTATTACTTATACTGTACTTTAGTATATTTTAAATGGATATTCTAGTCCACCCTTTTTTCATATTGTTCTATTGTTATTCAATTTATACAATTAAATATCTGTTTTTTAAATTGAGTTTCTGTATGATTAAATATTAGCCATGCGTGTAAATATATTTGTAAGAAAAAATTTGAAAATTAACTCACACTTATATTTTAGAAATCAAAGGAACTTCTAGCCTTTGTTGATTTGTTTCATGGAAAAAGATGATAGGACTTGAAAAATGGCAAGATGTACAATTATGTGTCCGTGTTGTCTGCGATTCAAGTTTAGCGCTGAAGAAGTGGAGCAACGTTATAGAAGTAAAGAGATTGATAAACTTATAGACAAAGATAAACACCTGTTGCGTCGACAAGTAAAGTTACTATTGTTGGGAGCCGGCGAGAGCGGTAAATCAACATTTCTTAAGCAAATGCGCATTATTCACGGAATACATTTTGAACCTGAACTTGTCATTGAATACCAGCACATAATCTATCAAAATATATTAAGAGGTAATAATAATTGTCGATATACATTTTATTAGATGATTTATTTTTAATTTAATTTAAAATAGGTATGAAAGTATTAGCAGATGCTAGGCAAAAGTTAGGTATACCATGGGAAAACCCTGATAATAATAAAAATGGTGAATTTATTTTGAGTTTCGACAATCGTACTACTTTGGACACACGATTATTCCAGTCATATGCGCCATCAATGTACTGCTTGTGGAAGGATGCTGCTATTAAAAGAGCATTTGAACGAAGGAGAGAATTTCAACTTAGTGACTCAGTGCAATATTTTCTTGATAATATTGAAAATATTGCTAGAAGTGTAAGTTATTCTTTTAATAGTTAATTTTATATTCAATAATAATTTTATAAATGTATATTTAATAATTTTAGGACTATTTACCAACAAATAAAGATATTTTACATGCTAGACGAGCTACAAAAGGCATTTATGAATTTACAATTCCAATAAACAATATTCCTTTTCGATTTGTTGATGTTGGTGGACAAAGATCCCAACGGCAGAAATGGTTCCAATGCTTTGATTCCGTCACATCGATATTATTTTTAGTATCCTCTTCTGAATTTGATCAAGTTCTTGTAGAAGACAGGTATGTTTCATGATACTTTGAAAAATGTAAAATGTGCAGTATGGGACTTGATAGGACGAAACTCCGTCTGGATTAAACGGTATCACTAAAGTGTCTGAAATACTATTAAAATCAATGGTTTTATCACAACTTTTAGTCTCAATACTATAAAGTAGTGATACACTTAAAATAATGATTTAGGATAAAAACAAAACATGTTACTGATATTCTTTGAGTATTTATTTTTTGTTAGTTTTGAGGTATTAGACTACTTTAGTATAATTATCTTCTTCTTTTTTAATTAGCTGTAGACAATAAATACAGAGTAAGAAATTCTTATCTATAATATGAAACATGGGCAGGATGGGTTGAGCAAATGAAATTCACAATTCACACTAGGTCAAATACCTAATCTCTTCTCAAGCATCATATAAAAACCTGAGAATTAACTCAGCTGGTTAAAAAGTATAAAAGGTTATATTTTTGAAATTTGAAAGAGTATTTTTTGACTTATTGAAATATATGATAATATTTGGTGTGGGCCATAATAATAAATATTGATCCATAAACATTCTATAATTTGTAAAAATATATATAATAAGAACTTGAATAAATATTATATTCATTTTATAATTAATACAATTATAAACCGATATTACCGATTTACTTACCATGTACACAATGTAACTCAAAGACTACTCATTTGGAATATGATCAAGACACATTAATGTTTTGAAAAAAATCATCTTCTCATCCATGTATCATTAAAAAGTGATCATTTAAAAAAAAAAATTGTACCACAATAAAATACTCCTAAATCGGTTTAAATAATCTAAATCGATGATATGATTTTTAAGGATAAAATAGAGCAGGCTTGCTGAGTGAATCATCCAGTAGAAAATAGGTTTACTAGTAAATAAAAAATATTGAGCCATATTTTATTTTGTTGATGAATATATAATATCACCTCACCTATCACTTTATTCCTATTTGTAATTTCCAAATTTATCATATTTCTTATAATTTTATATAATTTTTTTTTTTTAAATTGCTAAAAGCCACCAATACTTTTTCAAATTAATATCTTTATTTGTATTATTGTTATTGTTTTAATAAAATCAGTTACACATTTTAACAAAATAAATTATATTTATTACATGACTATTTTTGGGTTAGGAATGCATTTATTCATTATCATTTTCAAGTTAGGTTTTAGTGATTAACATTTGTATCACAAAAATTACTACTTATTGTTAATAGTTACTATTGTTTATTTTAACGATCATTATGGCATACAACTTTTTAGTCATTTTTATTGAAATCTTAAGTGTTTTTAAAAATACATCCATTCCTCCAGTTACGGGAGTTTCAACATAAAATCAAAGAAACTGTCTATTTAACCTTTTCTTTCTTTTTTTTTAGAAAAACAAATAGATTAGAAGAATCAAAAGACATATTCGATTCTATAGTAAATAATGTAATATTCCGACGAGTTTCCATAATTCTTTTTATGAACAAAACTGACTTACTGGCTGATAAATTAGAAAGAAGAGAAACAAATATTAAGCATTATTTTCCACATTTTGCAGGTAATTTTCATCAATTAATAAATATACAAAATAATAATTTTGAATAACATCCAATGCTGGTGTTATTTAAACATAACTAATTTCATAGTAGATGTTTACTTATACTCTATTATTTTCAAGCTTGCCTAACATTATTTGTTGTAAAAATGTGTGAGTTTCATTTCAAAATACGAATTGTTTCGATTGTTTTATTTATAAATAAGTGAAGTTTAATAATTGATATTATTTACATGTTTTAGGAGATCCTCATAGTTTGCCTGATGTACAAACATTTTTATTGGATTTCTTTCGACAAGCAAAACGTGATCCCAGAAAATCACTGTTTCATCATTTCACAACTGCTGTGGACACAGAAAACATTAAAGTTGTATTTAATGCTGTTAAAGATACAATTTTACATAGAAATTTGGAATCTTTAATGCTTCAGTAACTTTTTGAATTTACACAGGTATTTGTTAAATGTTTATTTAGTTATGTTCATTGTTCACAAAACTATGAATTTTTTTTTTGTAATGTTATTTTTCAATATTCATCATAAATCTTTCATTGTATCTCAACTTACAGTTATCTTTCTCTATCTAAGGTACATCCTGCGATCTATTCCTACACCTTAAAATCAAATTTAGTAACTATTTACATTTAATATGCTAGATATCCAAAAATAAAATAAAAGCAAATTAATTATGCCATTGCTATTGTCATAACTTTAATAAGATAAAAATGTTTGATCCAAATTTCAACTTAAACTATTATTATTTTTTAATCTCAATTCTTATACATATTTATTCTCAAACAATAAAAAATCTCATTAATGAAATATTATCTTTATTATTGTTTATATGTTAAACAAATTTGTTTAAATGCATTTATTATCCAACTGTGTATAATATTACTGTTTATTGTTAAGCAAAATTTTGAAATTTATATTTTTGTACAAAATTATTACTGATACTTATATATATATTTGATTAATGATTAGATTAGGTAATATTATTTTTATTATTGATTAGTTATTTAGCATTCAAGCATTCATATTTATTTATTAGTTAATAGAGACCGATAATATTTTGTTCTACGCACTATTCTACATACATACATTTTGATTTGTTCATTAAATGTAGTCCACTAAAGTAAACTTTATATTTATTAAAAATATCTACTGTTTTTGTTGAACTTAAAAATGTTTAGAATCAACGTTGAACAAGACTTGTGATTTTTTTCTACAATTTGTTTTTTTTTTTTAATACATTTTTTTTTTTAGTTTTTTAAGATAGATTAATAATGTTTAAGATATTTAAAGAAACAAAATATATAATAATATTGTTATTAAAATAATATTTTTATTTGAATGTGTAGGTGCAATTATAAATTAAAATAACAATAAATATTAATATTATTTCAGATAAATACTGGTAACAAATATAACAATTATAAATCACATTTTAGTATGCTATTTTTACCAATCTAATGCAATATCAGTGAATGGTTTGGCTCATAGATTTTGGTAACATGTTGCATACATTTAATAATATTTAAAAAAAAATGATTATTTAGAATAAGCTATCTTTTATCAAGTGACTCTATTTGTTGAGGATCAACTGATGTGTCTTCTGATGCAATCCAATTATAATTATCACCAGTAACAACAACAAATAACTGATTGTCATTTACATGAAGTTGGTTTCTGAAATAATTACAAAGATCTTCTTCCTGCAAACAAATATTTTAATTTATAGTTGTAATAATTATAAATAAAACATAATAAAAGCTATAACATACGTTTCCAATTTTTGATGGATTAGGTAATTTTGAATCTAGATTGTAATAAATTCCATTAATATTTTTGATAGATATCCAATGTCTTCGTTTTAATGGTAACCATAAAAATCCTAAACGACATTCACTGGGTATGTTCATTACAAAACCAAATATCTTATCCAATTTCAACATTTTTGGGTCCCTGATGATAAAAAGTTGGTTAAAATACTTATTTCTCTGAACAGATGTTTTCTAAATTTCTTATATAAAATCAAGATAGATACAAATTAAATGCCATCATTAACTACTTTGTATCAGGCAATATAATGTATACTATAATACAGTTTATTTTCAAATAAATCATAAATGATTTATTTCAACAAAAATATTTGAAATTAGTTTAAATAAGACACAAAATGTTACCCTATATATTCATTAACCTAATAAATTAAAAAAAATTTAATTTAAGCTAATAAGCTGTATATATCAATTATTAGAATCAGTATTTATTTATTGAATACAAAAATATAGAAGAGTACAAATATATTTTTTGGTAAATAATTTTCTATCAAATTTATACATAATTATAATATATATTATTATTTATAAAGGCAACTAGTAGACTAGTGCTAATAATCATTCAGTGTCCGAAGAGTTAAATATATAGGACAACAGATTTTGTACTAGGCATTTACAAACAGTGTTGGGTAAATTACAATTACATTAAGTTACTTTAACTTTATTTATTGAATAAAACTATATTAATATTCCCTAACATTATTGTTATTATTTTACATTAATATTTCGTTCAAAAAGTAGAGCTTTAAAAATAGCGTTACCTTAATATATTTTCAAAAACACCTACAATTTAAAAAAAAATACAAAAATCTGGTAAATTTTTATTTTTTTTTTAATAAACTAAATAAAAAATTAACATGAATTCTAAACACCTTAATACTATTAAGAGTTGTTCATGTCATACTTTTCAATTTTTGATTATTAAATAACAAGGAAAATAATGTGTCAATTGAAATAAATATAATAAAATTACTACTGTTACCGAAAAAGTAATTTTTAATTTGGTAAGTTACTATTCCATAGCTTAGTAATGATTATGTATCTTTTTTCTTTTCATTGTTTGTATTAATATTATTCATGAAATAATTCGCCAAAAATAATTATAAGATATAGCTCTACGTAATTAGTTATTAATCATCGTATATCAAAATTACAAAAAATATAAAAATAGTAGTAGCATATTTTTATGATACTAACTTTCTTTTATCAAACCAAAAGGCACTATAGCCTTTGTTTTGTAATGCAGCAATCAAAACGTTGACATCATAATTGCCGATACCTAAAATCGAACGATGTGGATTTATATAGTTGTTGGGTGAGAGTGAATAACATATAGCATCAAGTTCCATTTGCTTGAAAGCCTCTTTTGATTGAAACAAATTGTTGAGAGCGTGTAATGCACATAACTCCTTGGACTAAATAATATGTAGGTTGATAAAGTAAAGATAATGGCAGTAAGATTATATTAGAAAACAAATATTCATTATTCTTTATTACTTGTTTTTCATGATAAATAGTTGTAGATTCTGGTAACATGATTCATTTAGTCTACTTATAATTGTTGATGAACTTACAAACAATTTTGATTTAATTAATAAAAAAAATAGTGATTAAGAAATAAAACACAATTACACAATTCCACAATTCAAAGTAGGTAATAATTGTTAACATAAAATTTTAAAATGCTTATATTATCGTACGTGTTGATTTCTGTTACTTGTTTACACAAAATTAATATTATAAATAAATAATATTGTTAAGATAATACGTAGTTATCTGTGTAGTATCTACAGCCGTGGCAATAAATACTAAATAGAGTAATGGAAAACTATAGTCGTTGTGATAAGTGATAAAAGTTCACAAACGATTGTTGGATAATATTTAATCTGTGCCAAAATATTGTTCTTTTTATTTTTTACTATAGGTTTTAAACACAAGTATCTTAGAAATATTAGATATTATTATAATGATTCCTAAATTCGTGCATAACTTAATCTTTTTTGTTATAATATTATAGCAATGTTGCATCACATTTGAATAAATTTCCCACTAAAATTTAAAATACCGATCCTAAAAATACTCGATTATAGCTTGGAATAATCACTGGCACAACTCGGCATTTCGGCAACTGCAAATTATATACATTTAGTCTATACCATTCTTAACTTAAGTTTATCTAAATAGAGACTTTACTACCTTATAGGTGTAATAATAATAAGAATCAAATAAATCTAACAAAAAATCAAATAATATAATATTAATTAATCTCTAGACAATAGTCTTACTTGTGGTAGAAGACTAAACTAAAGCGTAAACAGTTAAGTACATTTCTCTACACCTCCAACACCCCTCCTGAAATCAGGAGCTGAATGGTAACCAAAGTCGAGCAGGGGAAAAAATAATTCATCCAGGCCACCCACCCATTTTTTACTTTCAAATACCTAGTTATTTGAAATATTTAAATTGTCTATAATAATATAAAATTTAAGTTACATCACTTTCAATTCAAGTTTTACAAATAAATACAATTTTGACAATTTAATAAAAACATAATATATACATTTTTTAAGGTAGATTGAAAGATAGTTTAAAGAAAATAATATATGAGCATGTATCTGACCAGTATTTCCATGCCTGAAATCCAAACTATCTCTATCCAATTTATCCCAATACAAAAAATATAAATAATTCGATCAGTCTGCAGGACATGTCAAGTTCAGTTATTAGACAGTTAAGACTAGTCTTGGCAGTGGCGCAACTAGAATTGTTTCAAGGAAGGTGTCCGCCAGTAGCGTATACNCCCAATGAAAACAACTCTTTAAAATAAATTAAATAAATTAAATTAAAACATTATTTTTTTATTATAATACATATATTTACAATCAAAACTAGTATTTTATATAAAAGTTTTTTTTCTAGCTTTTTGTGTAGCAAATGCTTGTAATGTCTTGTCAAAGCTTAAATGTTGTAAAATATCATTTTCTGTAGACAATATCATTAATGATGATAGATTTTCTTGTGTTTGTGTTGATCTATTTTTATTTTTAATTCTGGCCAACTTCGAAAAAGCTCTCTCTGCGGTACAATTAGCAACAGGAATGGTAAGATATATTCTTATAGCAATATGAATGTTAGGGAAAATATTAATAATATTATATTCGGTCATCCATTCAAATATCTTATGTACATCACTTCCATCAAATGTTGGTTTTAACTGATCCCAAAACTGCTTGAAATGTATTAGTTCATATTTAATAGAATCATCAACATCATTTTTATATACACTAAGGAATTTATTAACACTTTCCTCAACATCATCAGTAGATTCAACATGTAGTCTAGTTAAGAATAAAAAGTGTTCAACTACTACACTATATGCATTAATTCTTTTGTCCAGTTCTGAACAAAATTTATCAATTATAACATGATGCGTTTCAACCCGAAATTTATCATTACCACTAAGTACAGTTAAACCCTTATTATTACCATCAGAAAATTTTTTTGTGATTTTCCTTTTACATTCATCTTTGTATGTATTACTTATTTGGGAGCAAAACTCTCCAACTCTACGTTCATAGATCATGTTCGAATCTCTTAAACTTGAAATAACATTTTTTAAGCTTTTCAATAAATATACTGCTTGTAAAATATCATTGCTTTTACTTTGTAAATTAATAGATATTTTATTACAATGTTGTAATATGTCATTCCAAAAAAGACACAAATAGCCTGTTTCTTTTTTTAACATATTTTTCAACAACACCTTTGCATGATATTTGGTATCCCCATTTTCATTTTTGCTTTCAGATATTTCAGAAAGTACAGTTAAAATTGTTTTATAATTTTTAGTGAGTGCACGACAAGCCTCAGAATGGGATGCCCACCTAGTGTCACTTAAAGATTTTAAGACTAACAACCTCTCTTTATCCTTCTTTTCTAATGAATTGATTAAGATTGTCCATCTATGAGTAGAGCCACTGAAAAAATTATATAGCATCTGCAAAAAACTAAAAAAATGTACAGCCTCTTCACAGCAATCTACACTGTGTACACCCACTAAATTTAATGAATGGGCTGTACATGGAATGTATACAGCTAAAGTGTTTTGATTTTTAACGTGCGCCTGAAGTCCCTCATATATACCGCTCATGTTAGAGGCATTGTCATACGATTGCCCACGACAATTTATTATATCAAGTCCAGCATTTTTTAGAAATTCACATAGGATATCAAAAATGGACTCTCCTTTATGACTAGTTACTGGTGTTAGATCAAACAGTCGCTCATAAACTTTAGATGAAATACAATATCTGAGTACTATAGCCATTTGATCAATTTTTGCAAGATCTGGCGTAGAGTCCATAATTATAGAGAAGTATTTTGCCTGTTTAACTTCTTCAACCATAAAGTTAACTAAATCATTTTTCATTAGGTTTACAATTTCATTACAAATGGTTTTTGACAAATATGATGGATTGCCTTTCCCCTTATTACCGTATAACTCAATATGCGTTTTTAAAAATGGATCAAAGTCAGCGATGAGTTCTAATAGCCCTAAATAATTTCCATTGTTGTTGACTCCAAAAACTTCATGATCTCCTCTTAAAGGTAAACCTCTTATAGCCAGAAACTTAACAACAGTTGTTATACGCTTAAACACTTGAATCCAATAATCCCTTTCAGCTGAAATTTGTCTACACATTTCTTTGTTAACAGATGTTTTTGTATTTGATCGTACTAACCATTTTGTTGTAGCACTTTGATGTTCAAGACTGTTTTCATGAAGTACAATTTTATTTGATTTTTTCCAATTTGAAAATCCAGTACTTACAAATGGACTTTGGGTTTTTTTTTTATGATCACTTCCAAACAACTTGCACATAAAACAATATACAACTCCTTGACTAGGAGAATACATTAACCATTGTCGTTGACACTTCTCTCCATTTGGTAACTTTCGTTGAAAAGAAGTTAGTGACAGATGCCTTGTATGATCATTTTCTAAAATATAATAATAAAAAAATAATGATAATAGGTATAATTAATGTCAATGTCGATGAAATAGTAATCATAATAAATATGATAATTTATATTTTAAACTAATATTATATTTACTACAGTTTTCCATATTCACCTTTCCTTCTAGCTGACTTTTCAAATGAACAATTATCATTTTGAAAAAATGCTGGTCCCTTTTCAATGCAATATGATATAAAGTTGTCATCAATTGTACTTGGCCAGTTAAAGGGATCCTTGCAGTGCATACCATGTATCACTTCTGCCTGAACTAATACATTCTTTGCATTATTTATTTCAGGTTCTTGATATACATCTTTAAAATACATAAGCATGTTAGGTAATTAATAAATACCATAATAATAATTAATATTAACAATATTCAAAGTATGTACAAATTTCTATTGAATAATAGAATTGATATTTGATCATTAAATTGTAATAATTAAATGTAATAGCCAATAGGTACCTGCAGGTAATGTGTTGTGCGTAGAAACAGGAACAGGAACATGGTCTTCACAAATTTCTTTAAACATTTAAATTCAATTAATACATTTTGATACAATTTAAATAAATGTGGTATATTGCATTTTTTTAAATTAAATTTTAATAATTAAATGTAATAGGTAGGTACCTGCAGGTGATGTGTTAGGCGTAGAAACAGGAACAGGAACATGGTCTTCA